TTCGGGTGCAAGCACTGTACTCTCGTCCTTTGATGCAGCGGTTAGAAATGTCGGGCTTCCAAGCCAATTACGTGGTTCGTTCAATGATTTCAAACTTCGGGAGCGGTGACCGGTTGGTTTATCTGCAGATTTCACGTACCGCCGATGGTGCATCTTGGTCTCTTCGTGCACTACCGTCAGTCGGTTGGAAACAAAGGCACTGAACCTAGTGCTGACATTGCTCACAAAGTGTATTACAATGGCGGAGTCCATCCAGAACGTGACGCGATCTTCAAATATACGAAAGCACTGTCGGAAATGCTTGGTTATACGCACCGCTAGCATAACCGCGGTCAGTTCGAGGCGGGGTATCGAAACGCATTTTATTGGGGCGATCCGGTCTTTGGCAAAAAATAATTCCGTCTTACGCTCGCCGTTCGCATGCTACTAACATACGTTGGTTACCGTTCCGTATCCCGTTTCAGACGCGTCGGAGAATAGATGCAGTTTACCCTTCGTCGCTTGACTGCTCCGGCTGAGTCGGCGCGGAATCCGTATCTCACTTAGCCTACTGAGGTTGGTCAACCATTGCTCCTAATCCGTCTGATCCTGGTGGTCTAAGGGTTGATCCCACTCTGTTCTACCTCTGTCAGTTTCGGGAACGTTGTCTAAAACTAAACGTAAGTTAGACAACCATTTGGTTAAACGGAACTCCCCTTTCTCCAGTAGATACTTCAGCTGCATTGTGTTGCCAGGATTCTCTTGCGTCGTCAAAAGCGCCCAGGAAGTCGTCGATGTAGAAATTATTCGCAACGCTAGTTGACACCGAGACCGGGAAGTTGTTCCTCTATTGCGACGCTGTCCACGGAAGTGCAAAGTTTGCGCAAAAGGGTGAGGAAACCGCTCGGAATGGATGAACGGTCAGTCTGTAGTCTACTGCCGGGTTCTACAAGTCACCATCGGGCCACCATAGCAATCGCAGGGCGTCACGCTGATCCTATGGTATCTTGATTTGGAGGAAAATCTCTTGTAGGTCAGATGCCACTGCCCCTGCTCCTAGCCGGAATTGGTTGAGTACGTCAATCAAGGGAGTGGTCCAATCCGGTCCCTGTAACAGACAATCGCTAAGAGAGANAAGAGAGAGGCTGCCGTACAGCGCCGCACAGTCGAATACCACGCGTATCTTCCCCGGCTTTCTGGGATTTGTTACCGTGTGGTGTGACAAGTACCACATTCTTTGCCCGCGTAGTTGTGAGGCGTCCAACCGTTCTATGTATCCCAGTTGAATGTTCCGTAACATCGCCGCGGTGTATTGTCGACGGAGATCTGTGTCGCGGATCAGTCGCCTTTTAAGGTACTATAACCTTTTTAAGGCTATCCTGTGATTGTTCGGCAATCGGTCGTATCCCGTCCTCCATGGCACATCGAACCGGTTGGGCTGGCACCGTGTTCCTGTTTCGACTATTGCTAACGCCTGGTTGTCTTCTACAGAAGGGCCCCCTTTCTGGTCGTTCAGGTCATTGAACTCATTATCATACATCCTTTGGAGAGCTTGTTCGATCGAATCGTTGTTAGCGGTGGNCCCGAACATGGTGCGGGAAGCATATTGTTCCCTCCTGCCGCCCAGTCTCTGGTCCAAGACCCAGCGTGCTTCGGGCACGTCACTCGACTTCGGGAGAGTTGGCTTCTTCGAAACACAAGTCTCGTAGGTGCGGCCAGAGCGTTGCTGATTCCCGACCGATTCCACTGCTCGCATCGGTAATTCGGCGATGGTGAAAGCTTCCGTCACCTCTACTCGTTCCCCATTGTCTAGCAAAACAAACGTCACGTTTGCTTGATCGGCGGACGTCACCTTGGTGCCGTTCACCCTGCTGATCGTCAGGGAGGAAAGTCGGGTTGTGATGCTGTGGTTTACGACGGAGCGTTTGGTGATCAACGTGGTATCGGATCCGTTGTTGATGAACGCTATCGCCTTCACCAACCCCCAGGTTGTTAATATGCCCACTGGTGTTACCCCGAGGCCAACTTGCTTGTCCGCCGATTGAGACAGTAGATATACACTGAGTTTTGGGGTGCCGATAACTGGATTTCCCTTACAGAATGTAAGAGAGTATGGTGGCTTCCTTGACACCCCGTTTCCTTGCATCTGCTACGGTTCCTACACGCGGCCGTACGATGTTAGCCGTTCAAACAGATAAAGCACGCACCATATCTCTTAGCTGCTTCCCAACTGTCCGTAACTGCTAGTTGCGCAAACTTCTCGCACGCGAAAAACTCGTGATTCAAGCGATACATAAGGCATCTGGGCGTGCCACGTTCCCCTACTGTTTTGAAGTCTTGAAGTGACTCTCGAGTTCGAGGCTGGCGCCCAATGGTCCCAGATCCTTAATGGTTTCTTGTTTTGTGTTCTTGGAAGGCGCAACTAGAAAATCAGAGAAAACTGGAGGGGCCATATATCTTCTTGCCCTGGGACTAGCGGTGCTAGCTATTCTGGCAACATTAATAATAAACTTACCAATGAGCAATTGTAAACGGACAGGCATAGAATAACTAAAAAGGGCTACAATAAAATAAATAATAAACAAAAAAATAAAATATTTTTTGTTCTGGTATTTGTTTTTTTTATTTGTTTTTGAATACATATATATAGCGTTTCAAATGAGGACTTAGGGGGAGGCAACTAGACCTAGATACTTATCAAGTTGAGACTTGGATGACGCATTGCTCTTTGAAGAGACTATCTCTTCTGGCAATGCGTTCCATTGCAAAATTGACCTGAAGGTAAAGAAGGATGTGCTGAGTGTGAATCGAGGTTGAGGTTTGTATAGCTTTTTGCTATTATCCTGTGCTCCAACCTTGGGGGATAAAGTGAAGAACTTATCTACTAGGCCCGACGAGAACAGGTGGTGTAGAAGAAATAAGTCACGCCTAATTCGCCTGAATTCCAGAGGATACAGATTAAGCTCCACTAGACGTTCAGGATAGGGAAGATGCATTCCAACCATCGCTTTAGTTGCTGCTTTTTGAACTCGTTCAATAGCATCAGGACCACGGATCAGGTCGGAGTGAACAACTTGACTACCATATTATAGGAGGGGGCGGATATAGGTGCCATAAATCAATGGAAAGTCTTTTTTGGTGATATGAGGGAAAGTCCTTCGAAAAAGGTGAAGAACACGGGAGGCGGATTTGCTGGCTGGTTATGATATGAAAAAGAGAGATTACTATTTAAGCAGAAATCTAGGACCTTGTGCAAGTTGGTATGCTGAAGAGGTTGCGTACCACTTATATGAAGCGAGACGAGAAGGGAGTTCGCAAAAGTCATGCATACACACTAGTCATCAATGATGGGCAGAGTCCATTCAACGGACCAGTGTTTTACAGCATCAATAGATGCCTGTAGTGTGTAGGTATCAGTGCCCCAGATAGTGACATCGTCTGCGTACATAACTACGTTTGCAGGCAATGCGTTGGTAGATCGTTAATATAAATAAGAAAGAGAAGAGGACCAAGAACAGATCCCTGAGGGACGCCAGTTGTAATAGGGCTAGGTCGGATAGTGTGCCGTTTACCCTTACAGTAAAAGTGCGGTGAGAGAGAAAGCTGTCAATGAGTGATAGAAGAGAATCAGTGATTCCACTTGCACCCAGCTTGTGTATGAGTGGGACGTGTGGGACCTTGTCGAAGACTTTGGCGAAATCTATGTATACGGTGTTAGAGATTTTGTCTTCATTATAAGCCTTTGTTAAACTACCCATGATAGTCAACATATTGTTGATGCAAGATCTGCCTGGCTGAAATCCCTGCTGGAAGGTTGAAAGTAAATTATTTGCGCAGAGCTGCTTCAAGATGGCCTCTTTTAGCATGCGCTCTAGAATTTTGCTAGGGACGCTAGTCAGGGAGATAAGACGGTAGCTTACGGGAAGGAACCTACTACCTTTTTTGTAGATGGGAGAGGGAACTGCGGCTTTCCAGCGAGAAGGGAATATTCCCTCATCCATACACCGTTGGAAGAGTTGGGTATATGGGCCAGCTGAGATATCCGCCGATTCCTTAAGAATTCTAGGGTGCACTTTGTTGGGCCCCATAGCGCAGTAAGGGTTGAGGTTCTGTAGTTCTTCTTCTCTACGTCTAACAGTGAAAAGGTGACACGGCTAAGCGTAGAGTTTAGTGGAAAGGGTTGTAGTATGGGGTGGGTAGTGATGAGAGCGGAACTGAAGATGATCTGGTAGTGCTTTTTACATTCATCCGCAATCAGTGAAAGGGCAGTTACTTCTGTCCCGTCTGGTTACTTGAGAGCAAGAGAGGGGTTAGCTGTACCGCGCAGTCAACCGATATGCTTGTAAAGGAACGGTCTGTTCTTCTGAGCCGTTCAAGTATAGCTCTTTGAGTACGCAGTTTGTACTCTCTAATATATGAGCGGCAGATTTTCCTGAGCCTTTTACAGGCTAGTCAATCAGCTTCGAGTCCCGTTTGCTTGTATCTTGCAAACAGTCTACACCGCTCATCGCATAGTTATTCGCGTTTCTAGAACCCCCCAAAATCTCAAAGGTTCGTTTTTTGGTTTGATGTCTCTCATCTCGCCTAATAATGCTGGTGAGTTGTCCGAAGCGACTTCCGGCGACTTTGGTACGGTTTCGGATGAATTACGTCAGCTCTGTGAATTTCGGTTCCCTTCCTAAACGGCCAATAATCACCGCCTCCTCCGCCCATCACTGCTGTATGCCATCCGGCAGGCACCGTACTATTGGCTCTAGGGTGTTTAGTGCGTTCAAATCAGCTTCATAATTCATTTGAGTCAGGGCAATGAAACAGTTTTGCATCCTCATTACCAGTCTTAATAACGACTCGAGCTCGTTTCTCGCTTTACGGGTCTCGGCTAGCACCTCGTCTATGAGCGTCCGTGCCACGTGAAACGGTTGGCCACACAGTTCCTTCAGAATGTCCCTTGCTCGGTTATACCCAATTTCGTTTGGAAGCATTACACATTCTTCGATAGCGTCTCAGGCCATTCCGCTGCAGTAATGCTTTAGATACAGGAATTTCTGCCCTGGATCGGCGACCTGACACCCGATCAAACTGTCAAATTCTCTAATAAATCTCCAATAGTTGCTGGGGTTCCCGTCCACTGGAGTTAGCTCCACCTTGGGCAGGTCTATCGACATGTGGCGGTAAATTACTTCAATCGGTGGTTCAGTCAATTTCGGCGTCAGTCTAATGGGCAGGGTTTGTTTTTCCGTCGTGACATGCGTAGTTGAGCAAGGTTACCTAGCCTCTGCTTCCCCAAACTTCATTGACTTAATCTCCTGCTCTAACTCAACAATCTTACGGAGGTATATATCAGACACCTTAACATCAGCATCACAATCTAGGGCAC